TCTTATTGAGCCGATAAGTCGTATTTTTCAATTGAAAAACAATGAAAAACGCATTCTTGGTTTGATGTATTGGCTGCAGAATCGAATCTGAAATCTTGTTATTATGTAGCGTGCCGTCCTGTGTAGGTGTTTTTTTTTCGAAAACTTTGGAAAGTTTACATCAATTCTAAAGTGCCATGCAAATCAATAAATGGGTGATTCATTGTATTAAAGAGACAACAGTCAGACCTCATCTGCAGAAGTGGACGTGACAGGAGTTAGTGTGGAAATTGGTGWTGGAGCTATCACAAGAACAAATACCAGCATCAATCCTCTTCAAAATATCAACCCCCTTTATGCAAGCATGTCTGGCAATCCATTTGAAGAAACTGAAAGTGAAAGGTAGGGATTTTTTGTTTTACAGGGGAAAGGATGATTTTAGATCCCTCTTCAGTCTCTATRATTTTACTTTTATCTATTTTGTTATTTTGTTTTAGATAGAACATACTCCAATTCACTGCATTGATGTAGATAGTAATTTAAAGGTGTTTTGATATAACTGTTTGCATACATTCAGCATAAAACCTTCTGTGTGCTCTGACAGCTTTGTACTAGCCTAAATATGATTTGTACACACAGTACATGAATTTCACTATGTATTTCTTTTATTTGCAGTGATGAAAGTGAATGTGATAAGAGTGAGTCAGAAGAGAGTGAGTCAGAAGAGAGTGTAGTGGAGTTGGAAGATGATGATATTGACCCTGTTTTGGAGGAAGGGTAAATTAGGCAGTGTACAAAATGTAGCAAAGTAAATCCCTGACTGTCTTTTTTTTTAATGTGCTCATTCTGCTCAAGTTTGTTGGCATTTCTCCTTATCATACTTTTTTTGTAAATAAGGCTGTCATATGACCAACATCAGTATCAATAGAATAGTAGCTTGGCTGAGGATTCTAAAACTATTACATGCTAATTTGATAATGTCACTTGATCAGCATTCTATCAAATGTGAACATTTTATTATAAGTGTTCTCAAGTATTATCCTTCTTAACTACAGGTGTTTTTTTATGTAGTCTAGTCAAATGAATTTAACAATTTAAACAAAGTATTATTCAAGATGGTCAATTGTTATATAATAAATGTTCACGTGAACCATAGTTAACTTATGCATGAACTGACAATTCTTATGTAGAAAACAGCATTATACTCACTGTAGTAATCATATCACAATGTTTTGATAGATCACTGTCAGACAATATTGAAGCAGATGATATATTACTACAATCAGAGAGTGCTACACTGACAGCTCTTGAATTAGATGTTACCACAGGTAGGTCACCAAAATACATTATTATATGTCCATGCTTGTATTGATAAGTCATTTGATAGTTGTCTACCATACCCTCTCTATATAGCTGTAACAGATGAACAACCTACAGAATCAGTAGTGGCCATGGATGAGGACCTTCATATTACAGATTTACAATCAGAGAATGCTACATTGACAGCTCTTGAATTAAGTAAGTGACCAAAATAAATTATTATATGCCCATGCTTGTATTGAAGTCATTTGATAGTTGTCTACCATACCCTCTCTATATAGCTGTAACAGATGAACAACCCATAGAATCAGTAATGGCCATGGATGAGGACCTTCATATTACAGATTTAGGTGCACAGTAAGTATAAACATATTTCAATTTTTCTTGATACTGTGAATGGCTTTATAAACAATAATAAGTCTAAGGGTGTTTTTACCTGAATGCATCATGTGTATCCATTCAGAACTTTTATGTATCTGGCAGGTCAACGACCAGCAATGCTGTTCCCACAGCCACAAATGCACAGGTTGTGCAGACAGAGTATGGTCCAGTTACATTTGCTACTTACAGAGATGAGATGGAGAAAAAAGTAAAAGAAATGCTCAAAACCCTACAAAAAGTTGATCCATCTTTCATTTTCAGCAAACAATGTTGGCAGAAGAAAGAGTAGTGGTAGAAGTCAGTCTTATTGAGAAGTTAATTGAAGGGCATTGCCGCCATAAAGGTTAATGTGATGATAGATACTAGGTTTATTATTTTATTATAATGCTCTGTAGTTGATAGACAACTTCATTGTGTGCAAATAACAACAAAAAGAAAGAAAAATTATAGAAAAACAAAAGGATGGGAAATTGTTAAAACTTAGAACACTAATGCGTGAAAGTTACATGTACGTACTTTCCACTATTTACTACTAAATAGTGCCACATTTGTAAGTGAAAAATATACAAAACATTTATGTTGCACAATTTTAGTGTTTTAATGCTACATGTATATATCTAAAAAAGTCAAACTTATTAAGAATATAATTTATATTAAACATAGGGATAACTATGTATAAAAAGGTTGACTACTACAGATATTGCAAATGTATAACTGTATTGTTCTATTGATTTTATATAAAGGTTGTGGTGAACAGAGAAAGATGATCGAAAAGAAAACCAGTGGTGGTGTTTTGACAATAACATATTCATGCAAACAAGGCCACTATGGTGTATGGCACTCATCGTCCATCCTCTGTAAAAAACACAACCAAAATATCTTTGTGACATCAGTCCTTATGTCGGATCCATAATGCTCTCTGGTAATAACTATGAAAAGCTATCTCTTTTGTCCAAGTGCTTAAAATTGAATTTTGTATCCCAAACAACTTGCACACGAATTCAGTCCCTGTACGTCATTCCATGTATAAAAGAGATGTGGGAAAGAATGAGGGCACAAATATGGGGGATTTACAAAAAAGATGTTCTCCTCCTTTGTGGGGATGGACGTATGGATTCCCCTGGGTTCTGTGCGAAATATTGCATGTACACAATGATGGACCAATTCCTAGATGTCATAATAGATCTTGAG